CTGACAGCATGCCCCGCAAAGGGGACAGAAGGCCATTCTCTTGTCCACCTCTCAGCCACAGGCTTTTGAAGCTACAAACGCGATGACTGGAACCAATTCAGAACCAGCTGGGGCTGGAGGGGAAGAAGGATGCCCCATCCCTAAGGACCTCACAGCTGCTGCCTAAACCAACGCAACACCAAGAGGCCAGCTGGAGTTCAGACCCCCCTGAACCCCTCCTGGCCCTCGGCTGTTCCTAGGGCAGCTTCCTCCCGACCCTGCCCACCCCCCCATCCCCAGTGCAAGTCAGGACAACCTGACTCAAATGCAAAATCCAAGCCGCTCCGCCCAGATGTGATGTCTGCTTCCTGGGCTAGGGACCCACATCCACCCACATCCACCCATGGGAGGACATGTGGCTGAGAGAATCAGGGACCAGCACCGAGTCAGAAGTGCTGGCCTGAGGGGTCCCTGTCTACAGCAGCAGCGTCCCCCGACCTTGAATGCAGCCCAGACCCAGGAGGCCCTGAACTGTCTGAGGCTTCCAGGGCCATCATCTTGTGAGCAGACTTGCCATGGATCGGGTGATTTTAGGGGTTACGGAACAAAGGTGACCCTCGATCCACGGCAGGGACTGCCTCAGGTCACTGTTTCCTCTGGGCTGAGATAACTGAGGAGGCCTGCAAGTGAGGGACTTGGAAGTGACTCTCCCCCTGGCCGGCTGGGCGTGGCCCCCGAGCCCCACCCCCTCACCATGCGCAGGTAGTTCATGAGGCTGGTGCCGTGCTGCCAGATCTGGGCTGAGCCGCAGGACAGGGCCTTCACACCGATCTCCTGGCTCCGGTTCAGCTCCCGCACCGCGGTCACCACAGCGTAGAGGGCATCGAACAGCAGGGCCGAGGAGAGCTGGGAAGGGCAGAGGGCAGTGGAGCAGGCGCCAGCCAGGAGGCATGTGAGTAGGTGGGGGGAGGAGCAGAGAGAGGAAGGGACAGGTGTAAAGGAAGGGAAAGGGAAAGGGGAGAAAAGAGAACCAGGAGGAAGAAAAGAGAAAAGCAAAATAGAGAGGAGATAAGGATGCTACCTCCTGTCCCGGGACCAGCTCCAGCTCCCCTCACGGCCCAGCTGCCCACCCAAGGCAGACAGAGCGGCAAAGGGCTCTGTGGGGTTGGGCCAACAAGCTCCAGGGCCCACATGATTTCCAGGAGATCCTTTCTCTCTGCTCCAGGGAAGCACCCACTGTTATTGCTCGCAGGAATCCCCCCAAGGCAATGGGGCTGCCTGTCTCAGGGAGAGGATGGAGCCCAGTCACTACCCTCAGATATGCCCTCTCTACAAGACTCAGGTGACGGCAACTTCTTCTGGGAAGACCCCCAGATGCTGCTCATAGCTGTCCACACTATCTCAGCCCACTTTGTACTATTGATTTGATGGGTATGTATGACATACATGGCAAGTTGAGTAAGGCCCTATTTCTGTGGTAGATGATAGTGAAACAGGGGAGGGACTCGGGGAGACAGGGCACATAGAGGTTAACATGAGACTGAGTCAGGGGGGCTCACAAAGGGCTGTGGGGGTCCACAGAAGATGGCGCCTCTGGTTGGGTGATCAAGGAAATGGTTCCTGGAGGAGGCAGTGATGGAACTGAGCACTAAAGGACTTTGGTAGAGAAAGTATTGAAGCTGAGAGTGGGTAGCAGCGAAGGCAGGGAGAAAGGCGTTCCAGAGATGGAACTGTGTGAGCAAAGACACAGAGGTGCAGTGCGCAGAGCACTGGAGGGGGCGCAGGCGAGGAGGAAGCCAGAAGCCAGAGGCGAGGCAGGGTCGTGCTGTGGAGCCCCAAGACCAGGGGGCAGAGGCCAGTGCAGTGTTGTCCATATCTGCAGCTCCCTGTTGCACTGCAAACAAACTCTCAGGCAGGAACACACGGGCCTGATCTCTACAACCCGTACAGCACACCCACATGACTGGCGGTGGTGGCCTCCAACATATTTATGATCAATAAATTTGGGTGAAACTGCCCACGGGCTCAGCTTCACACTACATCAAGTTAAGTTA